AGGGTCCCACCAACCAGGCAAAGAAAATGGTGGTGAAGATTGCGAAGTATTCCCTGGCAAATTTTGATTCTGGTAGGATTGTCCTAAGCTGTTCATCGGAGAACACAATTTTTAGCATAAGATCATAAAAAATATGCAAATCTAAACAAGATCAAGAAAAATTCAATGAAATAATTAACAAACAACAGGAAAAACAAAGTCACCGCAGGCAGCCAAGGAACCAAACACCAGAATACATGTTGATGGCAGGCGATAATTATGTCACTCTCTTCACAATGCCCCTCACAACCTAGCTAATTGGTTTTATCTTACTTTCTTTTCATTTTCCTCATTATATAATTTAATAAAAAAAGTATCTTTTGATATCTAATCTAAAGGATGGGATGTGGACGAAGATTCAAACGTAATTTGGTATATAAAAAAAATTCGATTACTCTACCTAGCAACTTGGTTAAATTCATGTCTGCTTAAAATGTCTTTTCTTTTTTCCGTTTAATGTGAAGTAAAATGAAAGTGGTTTGGAGGCTTCCTCTCTCCCAGCAAGTAAGATGAGATTACTACTTCTCTTAGTAATGAACTTCCTTGAATTCTATGGTTCTCGAAGAAAATAAAACAAAACACACACGTATGTGTAGATATATATATATATATATATATATATATTATGAACTTACCAAGGAAAATACTGGCTTTGGGAAGGCAGTATCAAGAGCTTGAAGAACTAGTTCTCTCTGTTTTTCTGGATTAAACTTCCTGGATGCAACTGTTGCTGCCTCCACCAAGCTTTCGTACCCGCTCTTATTGTTTCTCAACCCTACAAAAACGTTTAAATATAAGTAAATAAACCTCATATAAAGTCATTTGTGATTCATTTTTCTTTTTTCAGTCCATGAAATTATGAGACGAATGAGTGAATAAAGTGAGAGAACTTGTTGCAGCTTGGACATTCTGTGACAGATGATTAATGGCCATTCGATCGAACCAGTTATCTTTGTAGACTCTCTTCTCTTCTATTGCAGCACCTGCCGGTATTGTATCTGTTGCTATGTTTATGTTATCTGCCGGCGTTGTAAGCACCGCGATGATCGAACAACGCGGTAGCTTGTTGCGTTCATGTACATGCCTTGGCCGAGCCATAGTTGTCGTTACAAAGCCGCTGCCTTGTAGAAAATGTGATGCTTCCATGAGAGAGAGAGAGAGAGAATAAAAAGTGCATGGAGAGTATTTAAAGGAAAGGGCATATGAGAGATCCTATGGTTTTGGAATCTTGCAACCTTAAAACTCTTAAAGTATTTCACGGAGGGTTGGAAGATACCTTTTGGCTATGCATTTGTTTGTTTTTGGAGCCAATTTCCAAGTGGAAGTAAACTAAGGCATGTGGTGTGTTTTGAAAAACCAAAAACAAAATATAATTAATTGACAGTGACATCGACGGATTAGCATATATCTCTTATGTAAATTAACTTGGTTCAATTATTTATTTGTAATTATGATAAAAAATTATTATTGACACTTGAAAAAAATTATCGTACATAAAAATTTTAATATACTTGATATTATGAAAATATTTCTCGATATATCCATAAAATGGGATTGCCGATAATCACAATGGGAAGCAATATTGTTCTAGGATTTCTCCAAAATTTTGAGGAATATTGACAATTTCCATACTTCTTTCCAAACAAGTTTGAGAGATTTTAGAGATATTTTAGTGAAAGTTGGGTAAAGTTTGGTTGAACATCGGTGCAATTTTAATCATAAAATTCTTATGGTTGCTAGCAAATTTTAAATTAAAAGGCAATAAAAATAATTCTTTCAACTACCTTAGTTTTGTTCTTACTATCATTAAGAAAACTTTTCTCATATTGTTAAGGTTTCATATACTCTTATAAAGTACAAACAACAAAGAATAGGACATATTTATACAATGTAATTGTTGGGGCCAAAAAATTTTACCGAAGGCCCAGGAGGATTGAAGGCCCAAAAATTTTGAACGGTTGTACGAACTCATGCTAATCCCAATTGTATTATAGAGGTGGATTGTCTGCCCTTCCATTTCCATACTCTTCCCATGACCTTCTGTGATGTGCGATTACGGTTAAGCCACGTCACCATTTTATATTAATTTTTTTACAGAAATAATACAACAAAAAGTAATAGGATATAAAATGTTCACGTGGCTTAACCGTAACCACACAAATAGGAAGGCATGATGAGAATATGAAAATGGGAGGGCAGAAAATCCACCTCCTTATATTATATGTATTTATCTGAAAAATTAGGAGTTAAGCAAGGTTTTACACAAGTTTTAATTAATTATTGTCATGCCAAACAAGGAACTATATCACGCCATGAAGAATACATTCGTTGAAACTTGACACCTACCAAGCTCACAGCCTCACATGACCCAAAACATGTCGTTTCACGAGGCTTCCTAGAGGAGTTGAGGTGTGAAAGGTTACGTGACACACCCCCATCGAAATCAAAACGTACTGGCCGTCACGCCTTGATTTTGGTCGGGATGTGTCATTACGGAGGTTCACAAGGCCCGTAGAAACTCTTTGATAATGGAAACTTTAGTCTACTCGGGAACACCAAAGTCAAGCCCATTTTTTGGAGTGATCTCACGCTCGGTAAGCAAATGAAATAATTTTATCCATAGGTTACAAAGAAAATTCTATTCCATCCTTTTAGCCGTTGAAAATAAGCTATTTTTGACACCTCTTATTATTCATAGGACATAAGAAGGTTCCAATCCATCTATTTATTTGCTGGTGACTGGAGGCCTTATGCCCCTTATATCTGAGTTAGCGCGAACTATGCCTCGATATTGCTCTAAATTTAGACTAACGATATATCTATTGAAATTAAAACTTACACACTTGATCGTACACTCATCTCTTAGAAAAACATATAAACGTAGTACAAATTTGACTTTGAGCGGACAGTGTACAATCAAAGGCCAACAATTAAGCCACGTACACAACCACTTGTATTCGACAAAAAACCAAAGAATAAAATGGCAGGCGCTTGTGTTAAATCAACTTGTTAAATAATTTGTAATTGTGATACGAAATTATTATTAGCATTTAAAAGTCAAATGTCATTTTACATATTTTCTCTATAAATAAATAAGAGACACTATACTTTGCGAAATGCATAAAAAAATTTAAAGTTCTAATAACAGTTTTGATAGAAAAAATGGTAATTACATTGTTGTTTTCCCTTGACACATCTTTGTATAATCATATTTATTGTATTTGTTTAAATTGATAAATTTGATGGTCAAAAATACAAAAAAAGTACGTAAGAAGAGAAAAATAATACATGGTCATCTTTTTCCATTCCGATAATGCTGAAAACCCATGCATTGCATCGAATGGAAAATATGAAACATGTTTGAAAATAAAGTTAACAAAATACACAGTACAGATTGAAGTTTGAGTCAACAGTGTGCTGCCAATCTATGTACATAATCACATGCCCAAATTTTTAGCATTCTAAAGCATTTGTGTAGTCTGATAGTACTCTTCTTCACTTGTCAATGTAAGATTTTAAATTCCAATTTTGTAAATAACGAATTCGATATCAAATTAGGTTATCCATTGTATGACTTAACCAAACTTTCATTTCTCTTTAATGTAAATATATCGTTATCCTAATAAAAAAAAACATTTGTATGTCATTTAATTATATTTCGATGTCATTCCTACGTTGAGAGCACTCCTTGTCAACCTATTTAAATAGCTTTTCATTTTCATAGTAACGAACTAGGAAGATCTTTTGCTTCATTTCATCCCTATATATATATTGTACGGATTCGGATTGGAAAACACCTATTCTTTGACACATTTTAATATTCATTTTATAAAGCTCGTTTTGTAATATATTTTATCATCATAGATTATTTATGCAAAAAATTAAACAAATCCAAAATTGTTCATTCATTTCATTGTAATAAAGAAAGAATAGTGCTATCCACACATCTATTTTTACTTTTCACACCCCTCTCAATTTCTAGCCGTCATATTGAATAAATTGAAAACGATCAAAAGCCCAAAAATAACAAAGGTATCTGGATAGCAATATCCTAAAAAAAATTGAGCAAATGCAATTTTGTGAAAAAACACTACATTAACTATCATTTAATCTAACGATCATATAGTTTCAAATTTGAGTATTTTTTTATAGGCATGATCTTTGAAAGAGTAACTAAAATATAAACTATTCAGATCGTTGATACACATTACGAAATGAGCTTTACAAAATGGGTGTCAATTGCCAAATGGGTGTTAAAATGTGTACATCAATCATGGTCCTATATATATTGATATTAACAATATATTTAAACTAAGAAACGGGAAAAACAAATTGATTTCAAACTCACCATCAATAAAATTCAAACCTAAAATCTCTCATTAAAGTAACAGCACCCCTATTTATTTGTCCTTTGATTTATTATTGTTTCTTTCAATCCAAAGTACTAAAAATACGAGTGCAAGAGGAAAAAAAAATGTTGTATTGTAAACATTTTGGGCTAAAACGGCCCGAAATGCCAGCATATCCATCGGCACCACTCTGAAGCCAACAATATATTGGTCACAAGAATTAATCAAATTGTATGGCCTTGGATTGATCCATCAATCCATCTAAAACCATTCATCCTTCAAAAATATTTCAATGGAGAGAATGACAACTCTCAAAACTGACACATATATATGCACATAAAGAAAAAACCATTCATCCACCCCTAAGATGATAGCAACATCACCAAAGCAACGGTGATCGTTGACCCCAGACACCACCACATTAATAAGTTGTCTGTTGGAAGAATAACATCGACATAAAACCTTTCGATTAAAAGAAGGCAAATTTACAAAGATCAAATGCCAAACCAAAAACATACCATCTTCTCTTGATTGCTTAGACGTGATCATATATGATCGCCTACTTCAACCACAGAAGCATAGGAAGAATTTTATCAAAGCAGAAATTCTCTCTTTCACAACAATCATCATCTTAAACCAGAAGAAGAGCTTAAAAGGTCACATGATATAAATAAAGACATTGAGAATACCTGGTTAAACTATCCAACAAAACACATGAAGATGAACAGACATACAGATACCGGTTCAAACGGACAAGCACGAGATTGCCCATATGTACTACTAAATCCAGCTAACCTAAACAGCCACTAAAACACGAGAATAAAACAGTCATAATATTAAACGCCATTAGTGAATGCCCGTTTGAATCATCAAATCTTGAATCACTCCTTGGAGGTCTTGTTGATGAGGGACTTGTGGATGTGGGGGATGACACCACCTCCAGCAATGGTTCCCTTGATCAGAGTGTCCAGCTCCTCATCTCCCCTGATGGCCAGTTGCAGATGCCTCGGTGTGATTCTCTTGACCTTGAGATCCTTGCTAGCATTTCCGGCCAACTCAAGAACCTCAGCAGTCAGGTACTCAAGGATTGAGGCCAAGTACACAGCAGCAGTGGCACCAACACGCCCATGAGCAGCAATTCGCTGTTTCAGCTGCCTATGAATTCGACCCACCGGAAACTACACATAACCAAAATGCAAAGTCAGCACAATCCAACACAAATTAAACAAACCCAAATGCAAATTCATCAACAATAAGGCAAATAAAACCAATCCAAAAGCAGTTTCAGCACCAACAACACAGATTAAACAAACTCAAATGCAAATACTGCAAAAATGATGAAAATAATACAAAGCCATACTGCAATTTCAAAACAAGCAACACAAACTAGATAAACCCAAATGCGAATTCAGCACCAACGACACATTGGTAATTTTGAACTGAAAAACTGGAGTACCTGGATACCAGCGCGAGATGAACGAGAAACGGGCCTCTTCTTGTCCTTGTCCTTGTCCTTGTTAGCTGCTGTGGTTTTCGCTGCTATAAGCCCCTTCCCGCCCTTGCCCGCCATTTCTACCAGCAAAAATCCTTTTCAAATTTCAGAATAATATATATATAATAGTACAAACAGGAGACCCTAAAAGAAATTGAACGAAACAGGACTTCGCAGAACGTTGAAATTCAATTCCTAATAATAAAAAAATGTTATATTTTTTCCCAATTTGTTGCAAATCGGAAATGGAAACACTGCCGGTAGTGAAAAGGAAGGTGAATTTCGACCCAATATTCAGAAAAATTAATTCAAATTCAGTGGGTGAAGTCAACCGAAACCCAGATCTGTAAAAGTAACTTGCACATCCCAAGTGAGAAATTTCAGAAAAATCAAGTTGAAATCTAGCTTAAAAAATCGTACGAACCACAAACACAAAACGAAGCGTTATAGATCTGAGTCTTATCTTCCCTAGCCTGGAAATCGACAATTCCAAAGTAAACGACGCAACCCAAAGGAAATCGCGGCTAAAAAAACCCTAATCGGGAAAACCCACAAATCTTTGAGATCGAAAGTATGCCCAGCGAGAGAGAGATAGAGAGAGAGAGAGAGAGAGACCTGAAGAGTTCTTGGGAAGCTTGAAGACCGAAGGGAACCGTAGAGAGAGAGAAAGAGGGGAAAGCCAAATTTAAGAGGGAACGGGGAATTGGGTAGTTTTACCCAAACCCGGAAGGTAATATCGTAATTATGGTGCGGGGATTTTGGGTCCGTTTTGAATGCGGTCGGTACAAAAGGCGTTCGTTTTGGGTGGGAAATTAAAATTTTCACCAATTTCGATTTCAAAATTTCCCACTTTGTTTTCCCTTCAATTGAATCCCAAATCTGACCAAACTATTTTATTGCCAAGGTCTTTGGCATCTTACATACAACGCGTTGTGAGTTTAATTTTTTATATTTGTGAATCTCACAATAGTAACTTAGAAACGATTGAATGTTTCTGTAAATCTTTTTGACATTCGAAAAAGTAGAATGCTATTACGAAACCATCAGTTGGCTTTCCTTTTTTAGAGCGAAAGAAAGTCTTTGACATATTTGTTACACAAAGCACTCCACATCGTCACATCTCTTTTTGAAGACAAGGTAAATTGAGTAATAAGTTAGTATCACATGTTCTTGTAAAACTAGACGAAAAAAAAAACCCACCATCACCAAATACAAATGACAATATAGAATTTGCTCTATATAAGTCATTGCATCAAATAAATTGGAAAATAAAATGGTCTTTAATATGCGCTCTTTGTTTGATCTAATGGCTTATAAAGGGGTTTTTGAACATTAGTCTTTGCAAAAGATTAAAATTAAAAAAAAAAAAAAAAATCTGGTGTTAGATTATATATTCAATTTTATCCCTTGAGGTATACTTTCATCAAAATTTATATTCAAATTTTGTTATTTTAATGTGTATTTTTATTTAATCTTTGCACATTAAATTTCAATTTTATTAATATGCACATATTTAGTTCTTTAGTTATAAATGAACATAAATGAGAAAAATATTAAAAGAATTTTGTGATACAAAAATATATAAATATATAAGTGTACAGAAATGACTGTGCTGAAATATATAAAATTGACTTTTTTGTACCGAAATATTTGTACCTACGTGATTGTACTGAATATATTATAATGAATCTAAATGTATGTACCGAAATATATTATATTGAATTAATACTGAAATGTATGTACCAAAATGTACGTACCGAAATATAGTATATTGAATTAATGTACTTAAAAGTCAATAATCAAATGAAAGGTATTTAGGTCATCTCCAACCGATCCGGCCAGAGGGCTAGAGGCCAAAAATAGCCCGAAATGACTTGAAAATCATCTCCAATCGAAGGCTAGGCCAAAGGGCTTATGGGCCCTACCAGACCAAAAATACCAAATCAGGCCAACCGGCTAGCACAATCCAACCAACCAACCAGCCCCGGAACGACCAAATGTTTGAACTGCAATGGCTAGCTGACATCAACATGACACCAGCTAGCTGATGCCAAGTAGCCGTTGGATTTGTTTTTTTTTTTTTTTGGACAAAATTTCAAATAAATAAATAAATAATTCTAATTTTTTTTTTCCTATAACTACCTAAGCCATTAAACAATATTAAACGATATGGAAGATCATTAAATAACATTAAACAATATTAAAAAAAAAACATTTAACAACATAAAACTTAAACGTCTACTCCATGTTTCTTTTGGCCCAAAGATGTGCAACAAGATCCTGTTGTAGGTACTTGTTTGTGGCCCGCGAACGTATCATCTTATGGCGCCTCATGTACTCATTTAAAGAGATATCGACATGTGGCACTCGAAATCTAAGACGTAAATTATTGAGATTCCATCTCGAAAAATTATTGAGGTAGTTTAATTTAAGTAACCATATTAATTCAATTAAAATAATAAATTATGTTTGGCCTATGGCCCTTTAGCCCCTCTGTTGGAGATGATTTTTTTTTTTTCTACAGGGCTATGTTTGGCCTATGGCTCTTTGGCCCCTCGGTTAGAGATAGTAAGAAATATGGTCTGGCACTGTTCATTAAAATATTAATTTCTTGGAGGGCTATAGGGCTAAAAAGAGCCCTTTGGCCCTCCTTCGGTTGGAGATAGCGTTAGGTTCAAATCTCGTGGATGACGAATTCGATACCAAATTAAGTTATCTGTTGTGTGACTTAGCCGAACCCCCTCCCCCTCTGGGCCTTAGTGTAAAATATATCGTTGTACTAAAAAAACAACTCAAACATGTGTACCACAAAGTACATACCAAAATGCATGTATATGTTTGTATCAATGGATATACCAAAATATTCAAATGTATTAATATACCTAAATGAAGAACATACAAAATTGTTACCAAACTATACATTACAAAAAAAAAATTAGTTGCCTAAATGTAGACATTAAAATATATTATGATAAATGAAATGAAAATTAAATTTAAATGTAATTAATACATTAAAATAGGAATAAAAAGATAAATAAAACATCAAAATATAACTAATAAATGAGATGGTTAAATGTACTAGGGACTAAAATTGAATTTTAATCTTACACAAGGTTGTAGTCTAAAACTCATCTTTTTTTAAGGATTAAAATGAAGTTTTCTATATAAAGAACACCCTTACCAATCCATTATCATGCAGTGTTTAAAATATTAGTATTGCTAGAAATATCGATATGCAAATTTATAAAAATATCAACATCGATGGGTGTTTTTTATATAGAAATGTGAAAATTTGCTTAAAAACATGGACATTTAAAAGGAAATTTTAGGGAATGTCATATGACAATTTGTCGATAATTAACCGATATGTCGAAAATATTAACAAAATATATCGATTTTAGCCGAAATTTAAGAGGTACTATGATTTCTTGTGAAGTTTAGACTTCACGTAACCCCCCCCCCTCCCTCTCTTCCATATTTTTCTTTAATTTTTTGATATTTTCACAAAAAAATCAACGATATCGAAGAAATTTCAAACACTATTATCATGTAGCTACTAAAATTTTCCTCTCCTTGAAGTCCTTTTTTCACATTATTGAAGTCCCTTCTCTTCGAAGTAAAAACAAATTTATCAAAAACACAAAATAAAATACGAGTACAAAAGTATTAAGACCAAAATCCAACAGGCCCCAAATGGTTGGGCCACCAATATTGTAGTAAGGGTAACACATTGGTTTTTTAGGACATGGGGTATCTTTACTTGAGTTATTAGGCCTGATCTTTGTTTGTTGGGTTTTCTCCCCTTTTGAGGGAGATTTCACGAAACTTTTTTTTTTCTGTTTTTTTTTTTAACAAACGATATTATCTATACTAAGAATATGAGGTAATGAGCCAAGCCTTACAATTAGCTAGCACTAATGTGGTTCAAATTTTCCTTTGACGAGTTGTAAAGAATTTAGAAGAGTCGAGCTTTAAACTTGAAGGGACCAAATCCATTCATTTTTCACCACTTTCCAAGGTTTAGTAATCAAGTCTCGATCAGTCAGGACTTCATACCATACACGACATGTTACATTTGCATTCTTTTCTTGAAAGGATGAGCTTATTCTCCACTTACACTAGTACAAAAACATGTTTGCGCGACGGAAACTTGCGCGACGCAGAAAATTTTGTCGCGCAAAGCATGTTTGCGCGACGTTAAATTCAAAACGTCGCGCAAAGTAGCTTTGCGCGACAACACTTTGCGCGACGAAGGAATGCGTCGCGCAACGCGATTTTGCGCGATGAAGGTGCACATACGTCGCGCAAAACATCCTTGCGCGATGCATTCCTTCGTCGCGCAAAGTGTTGTCGCGCAAAGCTACTTTGCGCGACGTTTTGAATTTAACGTCGCGCAAGATATTGACGCCAAGCCAAGAATGTTTTACCGATTTTTTCCCCAACTTTAGCTCTAAAAAATCATCAAAATCAGAGTTAAAACTATTGTTAAATCGTGCTTTTTTGTTTATAACCGTCGAAAAGTTTTATCCCGTTACTTGATCTCTGAATGTTTGTTTTTTGAGATTTTTTGGCGTACGCGATCTCGGAGTATATACAAACATTTGACGGTTTGATCGTTGAAACTAGTTTCATAGAATGTGTTTCCCATCAAGTTCAATGGTATATATATTTAGAAAGTATATTTTAATTTATTTATCTTGTACTTATAAACAAAAGGACAAAAGAAAAGCCAAAAAAAAAAAAAAAAAAAAGCACTTTGCGCGACGCAGGTGTACCCACGTCGCGCAAAGTGCTTTTTTTTTTTTTTTTTTGGCTTTTCTTTTGGGGTTCTTGTATTGCTTTTTCTTTTGTGGTATTTACTTGTGTAAATGTTTTAAATTGACGATCGAATTAGTTCATTGTATTCATATAGGGTTAAAGAGTGTAGCTCTAAAAAATCATCAAAATCGGAGTTACAACTACCGTTAAATAGTACTTTTTCGTTTATAACCGTCGAAAAGTTTTGTCACGTTACTTGATTTCTGAATGTTTGTTTTTTGTGATTTTTGGCATATGCGATCTCGAAGCATATACAAACAAGTTTGACGGTTGGATCGTTAAAACTAGTTTCGTAGAATGCGTATCGCATCAAAACAATAGATTCACTAACACTTGGAGTTTATTAATACTTCCATTAGGTATAACATAAGATTTTGTGGTATCCACTTGTATAAATGTTTTAAATGGACGATCAAATTAGTTCATTGTATTCATATAGGGTTAAAGAGTGTAGCTGTAAAAAAAATCATCAAAATCGGAGTTAAAATAACCGTTAAATTGTTATTTTTCATTTATAGCCGTCGAAAAGGTTTATCTCGTTACTTGATATCTAAATGTTTGTTTTTTGTGATTTTTGGCATATGCTATCTCGAAGCATATACAAACAAGTTTGACGGTTGGATCGTTGAAACTAGTTTCGTAGAATGCGTATCGCATCAAAACAGTAGATTCATTAACACTTGAAGTTTATTTATACTTCCATTAAGTATAACATAAGATTTTGTGGTATCTACTTGTGTAAATGTTTTAAATGGACGATCGAATTACTTCATTGTATTCATATAGGGTTAAGGAGTGTAGCTGTAAAAAAGTATCAAGATCGGAGTTAAAATAACCGTTAAATCGTGCTTTTTCGTTTATAGCCGTCGAAAAGGTTTGTCTTGTTACTTGATATCTGAATGTTTGGTTTTTGTGATTTTTGGCATATGCGATCTTGAAGCATATACAAACAAGTTTGATGGTTGGATCGTTGAAACTAGTTTCGTAGAATGCATATCGCATCAAAACAATAGATTCATTAACACTTAGAGTTTATTTATACTTCCATCAAGTATAATATAAGATTTTGTGGTATCCACTTGTGTAAATGTTTTAAATGGACGATCGAATTACTTCATTGTATTCATATAGGGTTAAGGAGTGTAGCTGTAAAAAATCATCAAAATCGGAGTTAAAACAACCGTTAAATCGTGATTTTTCGTTTATAATCGTCGAAAAGTTTTGTCCCGTTAATTGATCTCTAAATGTTTGTTTGTTGTGATTGTTGGCATATGAGATCTTGAAGTATATACAAACAAGTTTGATGGTTGGATTGTTGAAATTAGTTTTGTGGAATGTGTATCCTATCAAAATGATAGATTTTAATAGAATTGTGACAAAAACATTTTTCTGAGCGACGCAAGAAATTTCGTCGCGCAAAGTATGTTTGCGCAACGATAAGCATACAACGTCGCGCAAATGGCCTTTGTGCGACGAAGGCATGCGTCGCACAAAGTGCAAAACAGCTTTGCGCCACGCATGCCTTCGTCGCGTGCAAGATTTGGCGCCAAACAAAGAATGATTTACCGCTTTTTTTCCCAACTTTGCGCAACGCAGGTGCACATACGTCGCGCAAACCCTCTTTGCGCGACGCATAGCTTCGTCGCGCAAGGTATTGTCGCGCAAAGGCGGTTTGCGCGACGGTTTATGCGTCGTGCAAGATTTTGGCGCCAAACGAAGAATTCTTTACCGCTTTTTTTCCCAACTTTGCGTGACGCAGGTGCACCTACGTCGTGCAAAGCTGTTTTGCGCGACGTAGGTGGCGTCGCGCAAAGCCAAAGACTTTTTTTTCTGATATAACCACAAATAGAGGTCTTTTTCTTCACACTCAACCTCTCTCTTTCAGATTCTCTATCTCTCTCAACCCTCACCATCTTCAACTTCAGGTATTGTATTTATTTGATGAATTAATTAACTATTTGTTGATTACATTTATGTTTGGATTTTTTTATTTTTGTGTATTTATGTTTTTCTTTAATTATCTTTGTCAATGCTTATTTTTAACAAGTTGAGTTTTGGTTTTGAACAATTGAATAAGTAGAATGAATGAGTAGGAGTATGAAGGATTTTGATAGGTTTAGGGAAACAAAAGCTAAGAAATTGCAAACTACTTAGTTAACTTGATCTAATTTAGGGATAGGTTGATGTGTGCTAAAAAATGGATAGATTTCATTTCTCACCAAATTGGGAGGAGGAAACTAGAATGTTAGAGATTTAGAGAAGAAGCCAGTTTACAACTTTGTCAAACCACTGTTCTATTACATGGTTAGTAATAATTTTAGGTGTAGTCTCTACACTTTACGATTTAGAATATATGGTCTCATCATATAGGTCCTTAAAAAATAATTTTAAGGCAGGAGTGGAAGGCATAAACAAGAAGTTAAAAAGTTAATACTGTGGAACATAGAAATTTTGGGTGATGTCAATATGGAATTGTCCTATTTTTTGGTTTAGAAGGATTAGTAGTTTGTAGCTATTTTATTTAGTTTCATTAATTATTGTGATTTAATTTATTTGTATGCACATATTTTTGTACATCAAGTACAAAATTGTTTTGTGTTTTACGAAGTTAATACTACTTAACTTCGTACACTTATTTCAAGAAAAGCTTAGTTTTCCGTTTGAGAATTAGTTGGATTTCGTGTATGGATGCGAAAGCATGACTGCGGTCCAATTAATTCTTGAATTGTCCCATTTTTTGAGTAGCCATAAGTTTTATGTTTCATGTTAGACATTTACAGCTTGAATTTCCACTAGTTTGCTCGTGTCACATCATATTGGTGTCTGATGGCTTTCGCTTGCAAGAAAGCCACTACCATGCTTGCTTCTTTTATTCCGATATCGCAAGATGATTTACTATGATTATCATTGTAACAAAGAAAAAATTATGTTCATAAGATGTGCATTTTTCTTTTTGAATTTGGTAGATAACATGTAAGCAAATGCGTTCGCTTATACACTATGTTTGGTCTTTCGGATTTGGTAGATAAAAAGATTTGTTTTCTGTTTAAAATTTCAAAGTTCTCATCTTGCTCCTGCGAATTATATTCTGTTGTAATTCGTTTCCAAGAGTTCTGATTGGTTTCCCCTGCATCAGCTTTAGGACCATCATGTAAATGGTTCTACCTCTATTGTTTATGTACTTTATTTTATGAAGATAGAGTTTTCGTCCCTTTATCTTTTCTAACTTATTTTAATATTTCTTAAAGTTGTTTTGTTTTATTTTAATGTGTAATTTTTGGGCATTCTTGCATGCACACTTGAATCTTTTCATTTTGCCATTTGTGGCATCAGCCTCTCATTGTTTTAATGGATGAGCATCCTATAATCGATTTCATTTCAGGGATGAGCATCCTATAATTCCCATCACTAAAGAGCATCGTACGTTGGCAAAACTCTTAAATTGTACATTGGGATCAATTTGTTCACTGGGTAGGCTATCCATGAGGGCACAGAAGTACACATTACATGGTCATTGGCTCCAAACATCAACAGCAACTGGTCGGCTTTCAATGGAGGAACCAAATCTCCAGGTTTGGGTTTCCCATGAGTTGATTTATTCTCTCCTCCCTCTGCTTCAGTTGTTAACAAGGTTTAATCGTGAGTTTAATATCACATTTTCTTCTTTTTTTATTTTATTTATGCAGTGTGTTGAACATATGGTTGACTTTAAAATGAATAAGGATGGAAATGGAAACAAAACTGATATTGATCAATTCAACATCAATGCTCATGAATACTTCATTCCTACTCAGGTAATGATCAACCTTTTCATTTCCTTGAAGGCCGTTTGTGTGTTATTGTTATATTTATACCATAAAAGTCAAAATTCTTGAGTAAATGAGGATGCGGGGGAGGGTTGAAACAGTAATGTCATATATTCAGATAGAGGACAGGAGAAGGGGATGGGATTTATGATTTCATGGTTTCCATTAGTTGATTTATTGTTGCTATTCTTTTGCAGGACAACTGGTTACTGTTAACTGCAGATTATTCTCAGATCGAATTGCGTCTGATGGCACATTTCTCTAAAGACTCTGCACTCATTGAACTCCTTAATAATCCCCATGGTGATGTCTTCACCATGATAGCAGCTAGATGGACTGGTATTTCATAAGAGTCTGTTAGTTCCCATGTACGAGATCAGACTAAAAGGTTGGTGTATGGCATTCTTTATGGAATGGGTGCTAATAGCCTTGCAGAACACTCTGGTATACATAAATTTTGAAGATATCCAACTGTTGACTATCTGCATTATTGTGCCCAGATACATCGAAACCCTTAAGGGAAGAAAGCGCTTTTTGTCAAAAATAAAACTAGGAAACAGTGGAGAAAAGTCGAAGGCTCAGAGACAAGCTGTGAATTCTATATGTCAGGTACGACTTTTTCCCTCCCTTCTGTGGGGACAAGGAGTGTGGGGGTTTAATGTTAATCACTAAATTGTAGTATTTTTCTCTGATGTCCTCCTTTTACAGGGATCTGCTGCTGACATAATTAAGCTTGCAATGATAAATATATATTCTGTGATAGTTGAGGGTGTTGAAAGGCCTGATTCTTCTTCTCATCCTGCAACAAAGTTACACATACTGAAGGGCCGCTGCAGAATTTTATTACAGGTCGGTTTCGGAAATTCTGTTTGTGTTAACGTTCTTTGGTCAATTTGAAGTGTAGAGGAAGATACTAATAACCTAAGATATTTAGCATCTTATTAGCTTTTTTATTTAAATATAATTTTGCTTCATTTACAATGCAACTCATGTAACAATGCTTGTTGGTGGTTTCTAACCAGGTACATGATGAATTAGTACTGGAAGTTGATCCTGTTGTGATAAAGGAAGCTGCTTTGCTGCTACAGACGAGCATGGAAAATGCTGTTTCGCTTTGTGGTATATTTCTAAAGTTTCTGGAACATTGCTCAATAGTTGATAATTTGAGGACATTTGTTTGCTGTACCTAATTTAGTTATTTGTTGTCCAGTTCCATTGCATGTCAAAGTGAAAGTCGGAAGATCGTGGGGTTCCTTGCAACCTTTTCAGTTCGACCAATATAAAGATAAAGCTGTTGTGCCTGCACAATAATTTGACCAAGGTATGTTCTTGCTGTTGATCTGAAAAAGTAGAACATTCATGCATTGAATGGTGGTGAGTGATGGCTTTACAACGAATCTATGTACTTCTTGTTGTCAAAAGAAATGTTATACGGCATGTTTTCTAATCCTGTTGCAGCTTTTTTTTTTAAATATGTTCCGATGATATACATAATACACAGGGAAATTCACTATATATTCTGGCTAAGCAATGCTTTCCTTGGAAAGATGCTGGACTGGACTGCATGTCATTCAAAATTCTTGAGGAAAATTTGCAGAGCTGTCGTTGGGGGTTATGAACTTGTGAGATCCTCTTTCTGTCACTATTCTAATTGTTAGTTTTCTTTTTATTTACTCTCTATTTTTCAATTAGGACTTCTCAGACATTAGTATGCATTCTCAGGGAATTCTTTTTATGGCAGTGGATGCAACTGTTGGAGATCACAGAAGAACCACCTGGAATAGAAACACAATGCTAACTGACCATGTAGAACTGACGGGTTCAAGGATCGTAAGCTCCTGATTTCTTAAACCAGACAATAGTGTCCTCGAAAAGAAAATGGCAGATGGCAAGGGTTCGTGGCGGAAATTTGAGAAATTGGAAGGCAAGGTGCTTTGGGTTCCATTTCGATGTGTCTGCACATGGTAGACTGCTACTGCCTTTGTTGGAACTTGTGTTTTATGTGGGACTTGGAGTCCCACATCGCCCAAACACCTATCATATTAAGTCTTTATAAGTGAGTTCACTCACTTATAGTTTGAAATGAATTGAGCCAAAGCCATGGACCTTGGGCCTTAGAATTGGAGAGTTTGGGTGTATATATTAAATGTCAAAGATGGGCCTTGGGCCTTGGGGCTCTTGGGCTCGGATGGACGAAAAACACAAGTTACGTTTTTGATTTTTTGGATTCAGTTTTTTCCGAAAGGAAATTGTTGTATAATATATATTGATTGGTATTAACAGCCTTATCGTTCATGTTGTCATCACTTTACAAGAAATATTAAAATTTTCCGAGTCTTCTTGTTAACAAAATATCTCTCTTGCATGTTCACTTACTATTTTTCATCCTTCAATTTTTCTTGGACAGGGGATGTATGGTTATCCAATTGAGATTCAAGCACTCTTATACCTTTTGAAGTTTTTGTAGTAAAGATGTCTTTATGCATGCATAATTGTGGAGCGGAAAAAAGAACTATGTATGTTACGCGTATTGCACCGTGATGTAAAAAAGACATTTCGCACGCGCAAGGCATGAAGAACACGTATGAATTTTTTTTGTAGTAAAGATGTCCTTTTGTTATTGCCTAATCACTTGTTCTTGTAACAATCATCTTGTTTATCCAATGATGGACCCTGAATTTCAAAGTTGTCTGAGCTAAATTTACCTTACGTACAATCAAGATATAAAGGAGAGGAAATTACTTTGTCACGGCTTGAACTGAAGGTTTCTCTATTAAGTTACTTCTCGTTATTTAGTTAAGTTACTTTCCAACCATTTGCGTTTCAAATCCTCTTCCTCCTCTTAGTCTAGTTTAAAGCAATGTCACTTGTAATAAAGAACAATATAAAACCCAATTAGTCAATATTTATGACATGTTTACTTCAAGTAAAGATACATAAACCGTTGGAGCAAGGGAATAAGCAAAATAAATCTGTTCAACTACGAATAAGCAAAATAAATCTGTTCAACTAGCCACCTAGTTTATATAATTCTTAATTTTTAGATATTAAATTATAAACTTTCAGGCAGTAGTTGTCCACACCTAAACGGATTTCATTTGCATTAAAACAACAAAATTTAAAAAATTAGAATGATTCGAATTCTCATATACATGTCATTAACTCCAAGGGGTTAGAGAGAGATTTGGTTTCTGGTTGTAGTGAATTATCTCATAGCCCTATATGAAATAAAGTTGAGTGAGCAATTTGCGAAAACTTAGAACAAACACAATTGGTTCCGTATGCTTCATCAAGCACAAGGGCAATGCAAAAGAAAGCAAAAGGAAGAGGAAAAAAAAAAAAAAAAATTTGGCGGTACCATAACAAAAAATAGGCGCTTGTTTTAAAATTTTCAAGAGTTTCCCGTAGACCTCACATCCCTATTTCCACCCTCTTTCCCGTGCAACTCTCAATTCCCATAGATGACCTCTCTATTTCCCATATATCTCTCTTCCTTCTCACAAGCTTTCCCGTAGATAACCTCTCACTTCCCTATTTCCCATAGACCTTTCTTCCCTCTTGTGTGCTCATCTCTCCCTCTCCATTTCCCGTAGATCTCTCTTCCTTCTCACAAGCTTTTGTCTTCAAAATCTCGAATCAAACGCGAATCTCGAAGCCGACGCGAATCAAGTCCCAAAATCAAGGTAAGGGTTTCTGATTTTCAATGGGTTTTTGTTATTTAGGCTCAAATTGCATGCTATTTAGGATTTCTGATAAAATTAGATGTTGGTTCTAGTTTGCAGAGGGGTTAATGGGTTGCAGGTAGAGAGAGGGATCTACGGGAGGGAAGAGAAGTCTACTAGCGCAGTGCCTTAACTGAAGGTCCTTCTTCTTCTTCCTCTTCATTCTTTTGGCCCTAAACTCCAATTTTTGTTTTGTTATATGCAAACAGGATTTCTGTAAACAGGGGTTATCTAATCGAGAGGTATTAATTTGGAATGGGTATTTTCCATTTGTGTAATTAATTAAGAATTAGTTAATCTTCTTGTTTGGATAATAATTATGCGTAAATGCGTAGTTGGTTAAATTAGGTGGGTTTTTGTTTGTTTAGGACTTTGATGGGTTTGTCAAGAATGCCGTTGCAATAATGACATCTGTTTTGTCTTTGAAACGTATCGGGAATACTGCTATGATTTTCTGTGGCTGTTAAACATGAATATCTTCATTGTACATTAGAACTATATAGTAAATTAATTAGAATAAGTTCAGTTGAATCAGCACTCTTCTTAATTTTGCTAATGATTTACCTGTTTAATAATAAAGAAAGGCTCTCTTGGGTGATATTCGAGTTTGAGTGGCTTATACATTCCTTGCGATGTATCTTGAGGGTTAACATTCATCAACATTTCTTTCAGCTGAGAACTTAAGATTACTGCTTGCACAGCAGCAATGTCTGCAATTACCTTCACAGAATCTAGAGAGAGAAAAATGCATGCATAATTACAATGTTAGCATCAACAGTACAGTACGAAAATGGTTTTACTATCATACTGATTAAATATGCAGGACGTAGCTGCTTTCCATACTATTCAGACTTGTTTTGAGACATTCACTGCAGCTCGTGGTGTGTTGCCTATTGACAAGTTATGTCATCTTTATTTATAGGGATGGGAGGAAAAAGAAGCTTGGAATTCAAGAAAGCATTGTTAGCGTAATGGGTTACGGAGTTTCATTATTTTGTTTCTTTTTGTTCCTTTGGCTATCAAGGTGAGCAGTCATCTAAACAAAATGAAATTTGCAAGCATCTTGGTAACAAGCTATGTTTGACATATATGATATGACTAAATTTTTGTATATTATTGGGATGATGTATGAAAGAATATCGAACCTTTTCCATTTGGAATCTCAGAAAAATCAAGTCTTAAAGTAAGCTGGTATCCTTCTTTTGCAGGTTCAACAATCTCCACAACGTCACGACGAATTCCCTTTACCATCTGTTTAGTATATTGTGAAATCCCATACGGACGCATGACTCCCTGGGAAAGGAGCGGGGTTGACACTGACAGGTAGATATAATGTGTATCTGATGCTGAAGACTGTTTTATTACACGAAAATCATCAGAAGAGATATCAAATTACCTGCTTGAAAAACCATATGATGAGGTATTTTCCACCCACACATTATTACTAGCTTCACATCTTCGCTACAATGTTTTAAATTCAATCTGTACACACTAAGGACTCACTTGGATATGGTATTCAACAGAACCGAATTCGTATAAGTGATGATCAATCTCCATGAAATTGCTGTCACTGTTATGAAAGCAACAATACTAATTATCAGAATGTGTTTTCGTTTGTAAAATATTGACAGCTTCAACCATCTTCAAGCTGGGAAAAAGCTTTTAGTAATTTATCATTCCATTATTAATTAAACACCACAGAAACAGCGCTGTTTAGGAATTCTTCTATTCAAGCAGCTTCGAGTTTGGACGATAAGATGGTGAACGTGACATTTCTCTTCAATTTGGTGAAATATGTAGCAGGTACAGGTTTTAGTGGGAGAACCATATATACAGGTTTGTGCTACCCACAACTCATTGCTGGACACATAATGCTTATCTACCTGGAAACCACAGCTCCCTGTCACCAAATTCCTACCATTTTCTCAAGCACAACCACTTCAACAGATTTCCCTTTACTTCTTTAACTCGTTTGATCATTTTTTGAGTTATGTACCTGTCCTTTTGTAAACAAAATTCCCACCTCCGTACAGAGTAAATTTGGAGAAGCACAAGCCAAAAAGCAAAGCAGTGCTGCATATAAATCCAAATTTGATATAAGTAGGAGACAGAGTTATCACCAAAGAAAAACCAAAGGATCCAATTCCAGAAATCAAGTGGGGGTAAGTTGATTGTCTTTTCATTTGTTGTGGCATGTGTCTAGTTGAATGACTTGTATGAAGTAAATTGTTTTTGTACGGTACTTTGATCATTTAGTCTAATGAAGTTTTGATACCTTTGATTGATTACAATGTTTGGTAATCCTAGTGTCATATTACCCTTTTTTTTTTGTTTCACTTGATGCACTTTTTTTTTGTTGGCTATGAAAATGGATAAGTAGTTTCCTCATGTTTTGAAATTAAGAATGTTGGTAACCTACTTACTTACTACTTTGGCTGCTAATTGATTAGTTTCAAATGCAAGAAAGGATTAGTTTCTAATGTTATAATTTTATGGTTCAAAAAGTGTATAGATGTCGCGGTTGATCACTCGTCGTCGGAGTGTGACCAATGAGCCTCCTGCATTATCAACATCTACTGCTCCAGGCGTGAGTGCTCCATTGATTGGGGAGCCTACACCCCTTACTGAGGCTACTCCTATGGCATCCCAGGTGCCCGTCTCATCGACATCATCAGTGTCAGTTCAGCCGCTTAGTGCACGACGGCCTCACCGACGCCGCCGCGAGCCGGAGCCTTCTGATCACACTTCCTCGGCATCCAGAGTCGAGGGTGAGGCCTCCCAGCCAGGTAGTTTTTTCTAATTCTCGATCACTACGTTGTATTTTTCTTTTATCATTTTAAAATTATTATTTTTATGATGGTGAAAATTTGCTGGAATATGACAATGTGATGGGGGTTGTGAATTACTATTTTAAGGTTTTGGGAAATGCTATACTATTAGGGGAGGTTATGTCGAATTTTCTGTAAATTTAAGCTTAGGGATTTCACCATTTAATTTTTTTTGGCCAGCTAAAAAAAACACCAGGGGGCCTAGTCGAATGTTGAAGGAGGCACAGAGCGTACGTTTGACCGGCTCCAGGATCAAGATTGAGTATGACCCGCGACATCGTGGAGCGGCTACCTCACAGCAGCATAACAGCGTCGCTAGTAGTTGTGGTGTTGTTATTAAACAAAGTTGTCCTATGCAGTCGGAGTCTTGGGCAGAAATTCCCGAGGAGACGAAGAAACTAGTGCGAGAAAACTTGTCGGTTAGTATATTAATTTTTAGCCTTTATCATTTTTTTAATTTTGTTTACAAATATTAAAAACCAAAATATATTATCTTAATATTATTAAATTTCTTACTATTATTTTATTATTTTTCATATTCGTAGGTCAATTTTGATCTTGACGACATATCTCTTGAGGTCATGGCCTACTTAGAGGATACCTTAGCAAATCGGTACAAACATTGGAAGAACTATCTTCACACGCATTTTAAGCGATGGGATGATCCGGAGTTTGCTCGCCTACATGGTTGCCCAACCGAATTGCAGGACCGGCCGGAGGATTGGGAGTGGCTCTGCAAACATTTTACGGACCCAAAATTTGTAGTATGTACATAATATTTTAATAATAATTTATTATTGTTTTAGTTATTTTTTTAAGCTTCCTTTATTAATTTATTTTAAATAATCGCACTAACATGTATATTGTGTGTTTAACAGAAGAAATCTATTGCTGGCAAGATAGCTCGGGACTCAAAGACACTTCTCCACCATTCTGGTTCGAAGCCCTTTTCGTATAGGCTTGAGGCACGACGTCAGGTAAAAGTATATTAATTTTGAAATTTTATACAATTTATTTATTATTTTTTATTAATAAAATTTTCTTAATGTTTGTTTCTTCAGGAGGGTTCTAAGTTCCCATAGATCGACATGTTCGAGGACGTTTACGTTCGACCTGGTGATGAGCTAGCTAAGCAGCTTCATGTAAGTATATGTAATTGTTATTATTCTTATATGTATGAATCGTTCAAATATTATTTATATTATGTTATGTTATTAAACATTATATGTTTTTTCCTTTATTATTACAGGATGCTATGGTGGAACAGCGCACTACTGTTCTCCAAGAAGCAACATCACAACTTCCCCCGGAGACCTCGATCGAGGACGCCACGATACCCGAGGATGAGGTTTTCAGATCCTGACTAATGTCATGGATCAAAACTTCGGTCGTCGTCCTGGCAAAGTTGTTCGGGGTATGGGAAAAGCGCGAGTTCGTGAGACGGGTGCCTCTTCTTCCAGATCAAACACAGGAGAGGTCAGTGTATTGAAGGAGGAAGTGACAACCCTAAAGGGTCAGCTTGCGGTCCAGAGTGAGCAAATGAGGGCCCGGGACGAGCAGATGAGGGCCCGGGACGAGCAGATGAGGGCCCAGGGCGAGCAGATTAAGGCCCAAGGCGAGCAGGTGAAGGCCTATGCCGGACACATGAGAGACCTTGTACGAGCCATACAGATGTCCGGCCTCCAAATCTCACTACCAGTACCTGATCTTCCTACACCTTCGACTTCTGAGCCACTTTGCCCTACCGATACCTAGTAGCTTGATGTATCAAACCTAAAAGACTACTTGTAGTTTTTTCTTATTTTTTTGTTTGGACATTTTGTATGTATATTTTCATATATTTATAACTAAATACTTTTCGTTGGTTAATTAATTATCGTTTAGAGTTTAATTAAGATATTTATTAAAAATTAAAAAAATATTTTTTTTGACCAAAAAAAAAAAAAAAAAAGAGGTTTGCGCGACGTAGGTAGAATCTTCGTCGCGCCAACCTCTTTGCGCAACACAAGACTCTACGTCGCGCAAAATGGCTTTGCGCGACGCACGACCTTACGTCGCGCTAAGTGGCTTTGAGCGACGCACGACCCTACGTCGCGCAAAGCCACTTCGCGCGACGCACGACCTTATGTCGCGCAAAGCCACTTCGCGCGACGTAGGTAGAATCTTCGTCGCACCAAGTGTTTGCGCGACGTAGGGGATGCGTCGCGCAAAGAGACTTTGCGCGACGTAGTAATACGTCGCGCGAAGCCGCTTTGCGCGACGTAGTAATACGTCGCGCGAAGCCGCTTTGCGCGACGTAGGGGGAATCTTCGTCGCGCAAACCCCTTCTGTCACTGCCTTGCCACGACGGTTAGTGCGCGACGAAGGTGCGTTGAGCTAAGTTTTGCCCGACGATTTTTGACTTTGCGCGACGAAGAACCTGCGTTGCGCAAAGTGTTTTTTTGTACTAGTGTTACATGACATACTTTCGTCATAGAAATTTCATAATTGGAACTGTTTAATTTTTTAATCTCCATTTGAAAATCATCAATAAAAAAATCATTCAAATCAGATATATCAAATAGATGGACACAAATAATAATGCAATAAATTTTTAATATTTTTAAAAATGAGGCACATGTTATTAATTATTCTTGGGTCAATCACTCGAAAAAAACAAAGGTTATGTGTTACATTATTACAAACTCATATCATATGATAAAAAATAAAAATAAAAAATAATTCCAACGCATCAGTTCGCGAATATTCTGTATGAAAATGCCTTAAATATAGTGTGATACTTTATGTTTTTATAAAGGTTTTTTTATCTAAAATGATCTCTACGATTGGTAACAACTCATCGTTTTGGACTCTGAGATTTGAAATTGATAGAAGTAGTCCCTGACTTTGTCTACAATCAATCGTTTTGATCCTTCTATGAAAATTTTCTATTAAATAAGGACTGAAATGACAAAAATTCCCTCAATTTAATAAATAATGGGCCAAAATGATATGACAAAATTGAAGGTATTTTTTTCATTTTCTCCTTATGTAATGAAGATTTTCACGGAATGACTAAAATAATTAATGGTGAACAAACTTAGGAACCCACTTCTATCGATTTTAAATTTCAAGAACCAAAGTGAAGAATTATGCTAATCTCAAAGACCATTTTGGCTAAAAAGCGTTTTGTAAGTAAACGAATGGAAGGGGTGAATGTAGGTTCTAACTTTGTTACAATCAACCGGGTAATTGAATTTCTTAAATCCTCATTCAACCTTTTGAACCCCGTGTCTGGGTCAATTTGTGTGGAAATTATGATAATTAACAAAGTTAAAGCAAAGCAACCCAATTAACTTTTCTATAAAGTCAAAAAAGTGAACAGCTATTGATTTGTTTACAAAAGTGATCGCAAGATAATCAGTGAGTAGATAGACCTTATGATGGAATTTGTGGCCCATTGTAAACCAATTTTTTATTCTAAATAAATACGTTAATTAATAATTAAATAATAATTCAATTATCAACAATTACGTTATATGGTTTACAAAATAATTAAATTAGAGGGAACATAAAAATAAGAAATTGAGATAGTTGCAGAGAGATGGTGAATAGAGAAGAGAATTTCTTTTTCTTGTTTTCCTTTTTTCCTTTGATTCTTAAATGTCATCATACAAGAGGGTAAAATTGGCATTAACTTTTTTATTTTATTAAAATGTTAGTGTGAGAAATAAGATAGTGAAGTAAGTTTATTAACACTCACCATTTGTTGAGATTTACATTAAACCCTCGTTTAAGTGAAAAAAAGTTATCAATGAGCTACACTGAGGACCAAACAATAAATATGATTATTGTTTCTCGGGTTTTGTAAAATAAATCTCTAAATTTTAAGGGGGTATTTGTTAAATTAGCTTAAGAAAATTACAAAGAATATTCACGTCGGATCTTAAATCCATACATATCAAAATGTAATATAAAAATAACTAAAGGGAAAATTTTCTTAAACCATACGCAAGACTGATTGTAATAATTTTTTAGTAAATAAAACCATATGCTACCATATTTATTTTGCGTTAAATGTCTTGGGTAAAGTGTTAGGGGTTTTTGACTAAATTTTCCAACAATGGACCTAAAAACTATGTCACTATACCAAACTAGTTTAGCTTATCTTCAATAGGCTTTATCATGTGCCAAAATGTCAATGGGCTACCCTAAAAAAAGTAGAAAGAAACTAGTCTTGTACAAGAGGAAAAGATTGAATAAGGTAAAGCAAACCAAATGGAGAGAAAAGATAAGAGATGATAGCTAGGTTTTCATGATGGTGATGATAGTATACAGGAAATGAGATTGAGACTTGAGTTGAAAATTGAGGTATATCGAAAACAAAAGGGAAGTAATCGATGGGGTCAGGTGGATGGACCACTCTTTTACGAGAACAAATCCTCTCCGGAGCTAAGCAGTGGGAGCCTTCTCATCAAACAATATGGGTCGCTGATTGATGTGCAAGTTAAATCAGGGCCGTTGGTTGTGTGTGGTGGGCCAGAAAAATGAATTAATAGAAACCGTTGGATTCAATTTATGTGGCCCAAATTGTTTGATAAAGAGCCTCCGATTGCTTAGCTCCGAAGAGGATCCGTTCTCCTCTTTTACAAACCCTAATAATTGACCGAAATGTTTGTGTTCTTTTATCTTGTCTTTTATTTTTCTTAATGTATGTAAAAGTAATTTTGTGGATTTGTAGTTGGTAACTAAAACTATTAAACTAATTGTGTTCAGTGAATCACCACGGGTGGTCTAGTGGTTGGAAATGAATTTCAGGCCTGTATTTTGCACAGCATGTCCTGAATTCGATTTATGGCGCTGGTGAATCACACAATAATAGTTAGAAAGAGGTTGAAATGCATCTATGAATCTTTGCAACCTCCAAAAAGGTTGACTTACAGGGCGAAGTCACCAGCTTCTTTTTTAAACAAAAAACTAATCGTGTTGACTTGATGTTTCTCCTTGTTTGTTTCCTAAAGAATTTCTTTTTTAAAGAAAATCTCGACGGTACAAGAGATAAAAAAGGAAATTGTTTCTTGAAGATAAATATATTACAAATTTCAGAAAATGATTTTTTTTAATTACCTACAAGCAATAAATATTGACACAATATTCGATTGTCGAATTCGATATAACGGATTAAACTGAATGATTAATTATTGTTAGATCAAATTCAGCGCTCGAACATGTGTTGAGACTATTCAAGAAAAAATGGCAAAGGAGAGCCAATAGATTCACAAAACCAGAGACATAAAATTCAAGAAATAACTATTGAACTCGATTGCTTATTTGACATGCTAGCTAGGAGAAAGATAACTTTGGTTATGACTTGGCATAATATGTCACAACACAAAATTAAATCATCTCTATATTCCTCATATACAATTCATGTTTATGGAAATGTGTATAAAGCGAATCCGTAAAAATTATTCAAACATACGATTCCCATTTTTATCCGTTATATTGTAAGAGTCAGATCTTGAAATTGTTGTAATCTTAATTCATTACTCATAAATTACCTAAAAACTTGTGTTTATTTTTTTTTTTTTTAAAAAAAAAAGGAGAATCAGCTAGTGACTTCGTTACGGCAATCCACTTTTCAGGGACCGGGAAGACGAACATAAGTATTTCAGCCTTCCCTTGAACACCATTGTACAATTCACTAGCATGAAGAATCAAACTCAATACGTGATGTGTGAAATACAGACCTGATGATTACTCGTTTATATAGTGAAGAACATTCATTATTTTACCCAAAATTATGTGTGGTCCCAAAATATTTCACTTGCAATGGAACAACACAACAAAAAAAATGTAATAGTAAAAACAAAATGAAGGTACAACAATTTGATAATTCAGTTACCACCACAATTTTATTACTACATACACATCGGCGAAAATCAAATTCAAAGGGGAAACGAAGGCCACCATACACGGCATGTCGTTTGACTCGATGGGATTTTCGGGACAGAGCACTTTTATTTGGAGGCCCACCAGTAAAAGGCATTGGGTGTGTGGGACCCATTGACCCTAAGACGGTTGTCCATCCCTCTCTGTGGCCCACAACCGAAATCCAGCCCGAGGAGGAGGCATTTATGCGTGTGTGTTTGGGTAAAGCACATCATCAGGACTAATTGTGAAATATATAGGGAAGTGTAATTCAAAAGTTCATTTTTACCTCTTATACATCTTTGTAAATTTCTGATCATCAATATTTTTCAATTTATTTAATCTGATGATCAAAAATTGAAATATGTATTTGAAAAGTAAAAATAAGCGTATGAACGACACTACCCAATATATAAACGGGTTTAACTAGCAA